CGCACCATCCATTAGACCGGGTAGATAATCCTTCTGCATTCGGCAGAGGGAATCAGGTGTAGTGGGAGGTTAGCAGTTCATATGACATTATTTACGAGTGCCCGAACTTCCCCAGCGTCTGATTAGTAGGGCTGTGCAACAGCCAAGGGTAACACGCGAATCGTAGCACGTAATTTTCCGGATCTTTAATCAGTTTTCTTACTTTCAGACGAATCCGGAACCAGTTTTCTCAAAGACGCCTTCCGTCAGACCCGAGACACTGATTTGATTGCCCTTACTTTTTCGCGAAGGTACTTCACGCTGCTACGCGTGCTGAGGGCGTTTACTGGTTTCCTTATCGATTTTTGACCCGACCTTTGCCTGCGCGTTCCCTTGCAGATAATCAAGCTACTAACCATGTACACACCGGTGGACGGTTATGAACCCCGCGTGCCGCCCGCCTTCCTCCATGCCGTAGAGACCCGTCTGAAGGCCCAGCGTGTCGGCGAGGCCAGCAGGGTCAGTTTTGGCAGCCTCCAGCTGGACCAGTCCACCCTCCTCCTCGAGACGGGTTATTCCATTACCTTGAGTGTACCCTATCGCGCCAGTACTGTTCCACTGGGACAACTGGAACTGCCTTCAGAACTTGGCATCTCTAATCTGGTCCTGCCCCTGTGATTGTTGCCCGTCTTCTCGCCTCCAGTATCCCGTGATGGTGCTCAAATCTCTTTTCTTTGCCTTTACACTTTTTCTCAGTTTTTTTTTTCTAAACAGATGAGAGGTTTTCGACCTGCATGCAAGTCTTGATTTCCTGCTGGATGGGCTGACCATTCATGAAGAAAGTGGGTTTATGAGCGGGCCCTGCGAAGGTGTTTTAGTGCTTATTGGATCCATGTATCAGATAGCATTTGATCTGAAGCACACAAGAAGTGGACGTGAATAAAAGGAATTTGGTGCATGTACACTAATTGTTAAGATTGTGGACTATGCTAGGGTAAAGGGATACCATACCAGAAGCACAGGTATCAGCCAAAAGCCCATACACGCATGTTTTGCCGATATTCTACCGCAGCATGAAACAGCTGCGGGGGATTCGGCTCGTCAGTGGGTCTTTCTGTGCTGTAAGTACGGTATCCGTTTACCCTAAAGTATACTACCAGCTGCCTGTCTGCGGTTAATAAATGTTACACAGCTGGCCGCTGTGGCTGATGGACTTCGGCCCAAATATTCATGCATGAAAACCTCGGTCTGAGCCTATGACCTAGAACATACTGATCTACACCAAGTTCGCAGTCAATTTCTAAGGAAATTAAAAAGCAACAACTTACGGACTATGTTAAGTCTGTCTCATGTTCTTAGCCGTTAAGCAAAAACCCACATTACGCAGATTCAGCAGTGAAAAACTTTGCGATCGCGGTGAGATTCGAACCCATGGAAACAAGGGCAAGGCTGGTCAACTAGCTAGTAGACAACTGATTACGACTTCACCTCGGACGCACGCACCGTCTTGCACTAAAGCTATTCCACTACTTCTGCTTCACGATCTTAGGATTTTAGGAGTTCGTGAGTATCGGCTATCGTATCCGACAATTACTGCTTAGAGGGGTATCAAGTTGGCGGCGCCGAGACCTCTAAAAACATGCTACATCAGGTAGACGATGTTTCTTCGCATGTTTAAAGTGTGTTGCCGCTGCACAAACCTAGGGGGTGCCTACCACAAGAGTGTGGACATCTGTCTTAACCGCTTGCGGGACTTTAATCGGAATGAGAGCTTGCCGGAATCACCGTGAAAAAAATCCTAAGACTCACTGATTTGTGTGCTCCAACAGAGAAGCCCTTTGTTCCGACAACAAAGAGCGAGCACTCTTAAATGTTGGTCCGCATGTAAAAATCGTCTTGTTTTACCTCTAAAGGACAGCTGTGTGAATTTCATAGTTAAGGCATGCGATTGTTTTTGTTCAGTGCAATAACTATCGAAAAATGCGTTATCAACTATGCATTTAGTTGACTCGGATCGATTATCCGAAGCAACTATCGCATTTTTATCATAATTTTCATACACAGTAGGTTCCGAAGCGCATAACTAACTAACTGAAGTCACCAAATGTGTTGTCTAGTAGATGAGACTTTCTACGCATGCCAATCCCGCTATTTCCTTCCACAGGATGTCCAGACATATTTATGAAGATTGATGTATCAGCCAAATCGCAAAAGCGAATAGACACTTCCTTGGGGAGTTACCTGGCCCGTAACAAACTGAACAAGCGCTATTGGCGCATGAACATCCCATCTTTTACCAAATGTCCGGTCACAATGTTGTCAGACTCTTGTATCAGTGGAAAGCTTCTGCTACCTCGGTCCGCACATTCAACCAGGCGGAACCGCCTTCATTGAAATTTCCATAATTAGCTTAAGAAGGGTCTGAAGACCTAGCTTCAGGTATAGGCGACTTCCGCTAGAAAAATACTTTTTTACGAGTGTGAGACGAACCATGCGCTCCGAAGATACCTATCGTTGAAGTCGGTTGAATCGATGGCGCTTGACTTTTATTCTGCGTATCCATCTCTCAGACTGTGGCACCACTAAACCTCCGAAACTAGCGTAAGACCAGTCTGGAGACCAAGCTACGAGTATATAGGGTCTTTATTAAGAAAATCCTTCTTTACAAGCGTGGGACGTGACTCATGCGCTCCGAAGATACCTATAGTTGAGATCGGCTTAATTGATGGCGCTGACTTCCATTCTGCGCACTCGTCTCTCCGACTGTGCCACCACTAAACTGTTCCCTAGTCAGAGTGGACCTCAACTCCCCAGCTGCGCTCTTCTTACTCGCCGACGCGGATGGTTTGGCCATATGGTACTCTGACCTGAAGGCGAAGTCGTCCAGGATGCCACTTCAACCAAACCTGGTGATGGTTGACGACGACGACGACAACATCGAGGTGGGCCAACCGAGGGAAAGTGGTCTGGAGCGGTCTTCGAGGCTGGCGTGTCAAATGAACTATATAGTCTGCCTCATGCAGACTGCCATAGAAGAGCGCGGTTAGCCGTGATGAGGTGACTGTTCAAAACGAATTCTGCCTGAATCGGCCGTGATGAATGCCATTACCGGCAGTAGGTGGCGCATCTCGAAAGATCTTACCTTCAAGTCAGCAAAGTCCCAAGCCAAGCCATCTTAGACGGAGATTGCAGCTGGGCGGCGCGCTCCTGACCAACTGGAAGTGCATTGTCTAGCGTCTGACCGGAGACTACTTCGCAGATCTAGCCAACTATCACCAAACAAACGCTTGTTGAAACTGTTCTGTCAGCGGGCGTCATGCCTCCCAACAGCATAGAAGGCTCATCAGCACGGAAAACTCGTATAGTTGATCACCTGAATACTCGCACATCAATATCGGGGTCTGGGCGGAGTCAAGAAAAGGTTGCGTAAAGCTAGTTGGTCAATTTAATCCTTACTCTGCCGGTCTGGCCGGAAGTTGGACGAGAGACTAAAGAATTACCCAGTATCTTCGTCTACAGTAACCGGGCAGATGTCCGGATTAATTAACTTCATTTTGTAGGAGACTATTGCCAAGCTTACTCAGTTGTCTTAACGATTGACCGTAACAGGGCAGGGTGTATTTTGATAAGGAAACTCGCTTCCACGGCATTGGCATCAGAATAATCGAGTTCCATCATCCGTGGACTACAACCTACCCTTGCGTCGAGGGACCTGCCGGCGCGTGCTGAGGAACAAAACGCAGGCGGACGCCGAGTGTGACATCAGAGAAGTCGTGCTCCTGGCAGTTCGTCGACACCCTAGTTGCTTTTCAGTCACAAAAGACGTTAACCGGCAGGCCGTAATGCAGCATGGCCGACGATAGGAAATATCAATGAAGCAATGTGTAGCGGTTAGATCTGTGGAACCCACGTGCTTCGACCGCTAATAACAATCGCGGTATTAGAAAGACCGCTGAACCGGATTCAAGCAGCATCACCCGACAGAAAGTCCCGGCGATTCGGGCTTACATGTCGCGATACAGCGATGTCAGGGTGGCTGACGCCACGGCACTCCTAAAATGGCGATCTCGGGTCACTCAGTTGACAACACACAAATACGAAGAAAAGGCAGATCGGCTAGCCCGCATTTATTAAAAATCTCGTCAGGATGAGGTGTAATAAGTTCCAACCCATCACAGATGGTCCCTAACATATCGCCCCTTTTCAACCAATACTAGACAAAACCAGACCACGACAGACGCTCTCATCACAGTGAGAAAGATTTCGTCGGGTCGTCCCACGTGTAGTCAAAACACATTGGCTCGAGTAGGCGGCCGTTCCGGTAACTCAAAGGCCTTAGGTGGGCTAGAACGCACACTAGCTATCCGCATCAAGCTGGCAAGGCGAAACTATTTTATTGCGTGGGCGATGATAGATCTTAGAGCGCTTGTACCCAGCGCCAACAGGCAATGACTAGTTGCACTGCTGGAGTTATTTAGTCCGATGGTGTAATTCTCCCGGTGAATGTTAGGCCCTCTTATTGGTATCGCGGTCCTGCGTGAGTGAATGGCTTCTCCACTCGCCAAGACAAACGACCACCGGGAGCCGGTAATTTAACGTCAAACTATCGATCGGGGTCAAGGATGCTGTTCTCGCTTTGTCTCCGTCCCGATGGGACGCTCACCGCCGTCCAATTCACCTCTGCTGCCCATCTCGGAGTTTGAGCCACATGGTGTTTCCCACGCTCGCGAGATCCCACGACTGGCCGACTCTCACGACCCCGAAACGTGTATGGCCAATGTAAGTTATTTGAATAAGCTCGCAACCAGCAGTCGCCTCATTCGCCGCTAAAAAATAAAGACAATTCACGTGGTCATGTCCCGACTATGAATGGTGACCTAAATAAGCAAAGTAAACGCGCGAACCTTGTTTCCTTTTTAGGCATCAGTAAACGGCCGGCTTAAGAAAGGCCGGTAATATTGGCGAAGTATATTTAAAGTCAAAGGCGGGCCTTTATTTACAAAATGGTTTAACAGGAGATCTTAGAGTACAATGGTGGGAGCCTCGTCATCATCCCAATTAAACGCATCAACGGGAACACATCCCTCTGCATCAGGAACTTCTGTAGACCTTACGCACGAAGAGAGCGTGACCCCGAACTTGCGTTCCAAACTCTTCCGAAGACCCTCTGCCCGATCAGTAAGATCCACTAACGCCTTATCGCCGTTTTTCGAGGCCTGGGCAATGTTTGAAAAGAGGTGAGAGAGTGTGTGCGGCAGGAAGGCTGGGTCGTCCGGTCTGCGTTGGCTCCAGCCGTCGAAAGAGCCTGGGTGGAAGAGGTCAGACATACTGAGCGAATCATCGTCTTCACTGTCCTTTTCCTTAGCCTTTTCATCACCTGTGAAAGTAAGCTGGCGATAGAGACAGGTGATAAGGGCCTTGTAAAGGTGCGGATGTTCGGAGATGGCCTTTTCGCAGTTGGCCAAGAGAGTGAGTATATTACGCCAATGATACCAGCCTTCGAGAACTTCACCTGAAATAAACGTTTTATAACCAGTTACTTTCACGTATTTAAGTAGGAAGTAATAAAAGATATTAAATCGGGTGGATGAGACAGAGGAAGTTAAGTGGCGGAGTAGCCTGGGCGGACGAGAAACTGGACATCGTTGTCTTAAAGGGTAGGGTGGCACCGTCTACATGATTGGAGAAGTAAGCACTCTCAACATGCTGTCTTGTATCATCGTTCGATAATCAGCTAAGCGATGAAAAACGCGGGAGAAATCACAATGACCCTGCTGGACTTATTTAGCGCAACCACCAGTCAAATGGATGCAAACCCATGCCAGGACGAGTTGAAATTTCATGAATTGACCCAGTAACGCTCGGTTACGACGAATCAGCACGCATATTTGCCTACTACGTATTCAAGTTGTGCTTGACAGCACCAACTACGGAGGACAGCTAGGTGAGGGGATAAGAAACTGGGGTCACAAAGACTCAAAGGTCTGACCAATACTTGACTATTGTGCCGAACACAGACAGGCAGAGCCCAGGTGTAAAGACAACAACTTACCAAGGAGAAACACAGCGAAGGAAAATTGGAACTCGCCAAGCAAAAATGCTTCGGCATGCGAAAGCCCTCGTGAGTCCGTGGAAGAAGAAGCAGGAGTAGAGGCCTCTATCTGACCTAGAAGGGCGTTCAATGTGTAAGTCAGATCCATGTTGTGCAGGCTAATTTCTGTTGGACTGGCGCCTGGCGGATAGAGTGGATGAGCGGGGAGGACGGTTAAGCGCAGCTACGGTGGCAGAGGAGGAAGAAGGGTGAAAGCAGGGTGAGGCAGATCAGGTTGTCGAATGTAGATCAATTTGTACACTTTAGACACGAGGCACTTACATCGGTTTCTGGTACGGTTTTTAGCGCAGGCAACTGGGCCTCGCATTCAGCAAGGCTCTCTGGGGCGACGGAATCCACACGGTCCCGAAGAAGACGGTCGGGGATCGGAACACTGGCACGGTCCTGGCTGTTCGACTTTTCGGATTGAAACTGAGCGCAGGAGTAGATGTACCGACCGGTGGGCTCCAATCGAGCTACTACCGAAGCCGTGATATGAGAGGACAAGGAAACCCAGTCGGCTAGCCTGTGAATCACAGAAAGTATAGTTACTTACACAGTAGGCAAGTTGTATAAGTATTAAGGCCATAGTGCAATCTCCAACTTCTCTACCTCTCTTTCGGGTACTGGGCAAGGAACATTGAAACTTCTGTGGGTTTGGAAAGGAGAATTTCACGATCAATGTCTGCTTCCGGCTCATCCTGGAATTCTACAAAAAATGTTCGAAGTATAAAAGGGAACCCGTATTCTGAACTAACCCTCTTGGTTAGAAATCCACCTTTTCTTTACGATGCAGGGTTTTGTGAAGTTGAGAAATTGGCTGCAACGCACGCCGGAGACTGCATTTTCACGAACGGCGCTGAAGAGGTCATCAGTTAGCATAATTGAAAACTGCGGCAAAAAGCCAGGAATAAGACAGCGAGACAACAATCCTAACCTGTAGAACATGTAGTGTAGGCCCAGGGGAATGTCTTTGATGCCGCGGAAGTGGCGGCCTACTCGCCAAACATTCGCGTCCAAACCTATGACAGTGCCAGTAGGAACGTCAGTCAGGACAAGCCAGCAGGTATCATCTACCTCGTCATCCTTGGACGTGGACATTACACCGAATTCTGAACCTTAATGCAGGGAAAAGGACATAATCAGCATGCATGACGGAAAACTCCAACCAAGACGATTGCGGTTAAAGTGTTTAGTTCTCTGTTCCAAAGGGGACTCAAGTATATTCTTGAAAAGGGAAATAACCTCTGAGGCGTAAAAGGACTTGACATAGAGACAATTGAATGGTCCGTGGAAAATAGAACAAGTGCTGCCGGAACATAAACGTCCCGTCTGCCAGCAGATGCCCAGTCACATGTCGGGTTAGCGAACAAGTACTACCTTACAGTAGGCGGGCTAACTCAGGAAATGTCAACCGAAATTCCGAAATGCGTTTTCGTTTCGAAAAGACTAATTAAGTAGAGTTATAAAACTGATCATCTTGCAGCATAGTTACATAATGATGCAGTTACCTCAGGATGCCGGCTATCGCACGAAATTCTTTCGGTCGCATGCAAAAACTATACTCTGTAAAAAAATGATTACTCAAGTAGCCTGAGTTTTTCTCATTGATTTTCGATGCCCTTAAAAGTACAATTATTTTTCGTGGAAAACGTGCCGTCAGCTGACGACGCTTGCGTGACGGCCTCTAACTGTTTAGTGGTAGGGTACGCCTCCTGGACGCGCTAAACTTTCTCGTCATGGTATTCCACTTGTCCGTAACCATAAAGCCACTAACCGGGACACGTCCGACTATCATCTGAAGTTTGCCGTGGAAGGATGTCATCGGCAATAAGCGTCGGGCGCATACCATAACAAAGATGTCGACTGTTGCATGCGACGAGGTCCACCAATGCCCGCGTCTTTTATGGCAGTGCTGATTTGCGCCTGAACTTGTTACTAAGGCCATAGTTGTGTTTGCCTTCTCCCGTCATTCGTGTTCCAGCGGCGAAGCGGAAGCAAGGCAACTGGAGGTTGGCGTGAGTGAGGTGACTGACAGTGCTAAACAACTCATTTAAACGCCACACTTGACCAGGTTCCTGACTCCACAGGTACCCGGCATCAGTGGGCGGGGGAGGGGGCAGTGGAACTTCCACTAGTGCCATAAGAACCACATCAGGCAACGTCGCAGTTTGAGCCTCAGTTTTCGGGCATAAATTGCGCCGTCGGCTGAGGGTCTCCACAGACACGACTATTAGAGCGCCGTGACAGTTTCAGGGCGCATTTGTTTGTCCTAGTGATGAAATCAAGCGCCACGTGATCCGTTGCCCGGATTGTCACGGACGGCATGCCACACGGGCGTTTCTAGCAGGTTCGATCGAGATCCTGCTCCAGTTTCCAGCCCCTTCAACGTTTGGCCTCTAAACCGAAATCCATTTGGGCGACCACTGCTTCAGAACGTGAGCAGTTGCGTTTCTTCCTGTTCCCCACTTATTTTGTTATATGCCACACTCCCATCAACTAGCGTTCGTAAACATCTCGTGCTCCAATCTCTCTGACCGGAATGGAAATATCTTATATGTGTGTGGCCGAGGTGCAACACTGGCCTTTCCGTCTAGACACCATTGTATTCAAGTCGCGCGTGTACGAAAGCCTCCAGCGTCTATATGCACTTTTAGGGACAAATATTTTTACACCGATTATCTTGGCCAATATAATCCTCAAACTGACGCCTGGGTTGCATTGATGACGATAAAGAGCACTCTAAAAACGTTTGATAAAGCCAGTTATTCCCGGCTACAAAAAACGAAATCCCATCAAACCAACGAGCAGCACCACCCCAACCCAACCAAATGCGAATACACAGCCCGAAGACGAAAGGTTTAGTTTACTGGCTTACTGTAGGTAGGGATTCAAATAGCACGCTTAGGTGATTCTCAGGAAGGCATTTGACGTTTAGAAAAGTTCATGATCGGACGGGGAAACAAGTAACTTAACAAATTAATAACTGAAATAAATAAACTTAGGCTCTGGAACTACATTAAAAGGAGCACTGGTGAGTGTGTAGGGACAGCTATTATGACCGGTTTGTTCAAGACACCGCTGTCTCAAGGTCATTCATCCTTTTGCAGTTCGCCTTTCCAGACGCGCCAACCTGAAGTCACACGACCGACATCTCGGACATACCTACGTCCGCACAGCCTCATCTGACCATGAGGCCACTTGAACGCACCTCCCCCCTGCAACCACAACCTAAGCCACTAGGACACCATCCCTCGGCAAATTCAGCACACACTGACTGGACGCCACTTGAGCTTGGCCCACCAGCCTACAAAGTGGTTGCAACCACTGTCCCAGGGACTCCCTGGCATGCATGGACGCAGTCAACACCAGCCCTGGATTTGCTAGTGACCACTGCCGCCTGAGAGAAGAGCTCCGGGTTCTGTACACATTGAACCCCTCATTCTGGTGCCTTCTGTCTTTTCCTTCCAACATGGGGTTTAACCTGGTGGTGATAGCGCACAGACTCCGCACTCTCACCGTTTAGTTGTTACAAGTTCACTCAGAAGGCGCCCAGAGGCTTCACTTCTAGGGCGATGATAATATGCCTAGACGAACCGATAAGGACGTTTTTCTTTATGTGAGCCACTTGGACGCGACTTATCTGTTGCTCTGCTGTGCGTGAGTACTGCAGTTTCATTATCGTCCAGATACTCATGACAAAGCGGTGCGTCGTCCCACGTCGATTTCATGTCTGTCGCGTCTTGGGGTCTTACTTACGCCATTAATAATATATTTGATACGATCACAGTGTCGCAAGACTGATTCGCGGCGAATCAGTATAGTCTGTCTCGTTAGTTTGCTGCCTAGGTACTCTTACCAGTATGTTACGCAGGTCCGTGGTGGGGAAGTTCATCATCCTACATGCGTAAATGTCTGGTTTTCTTATTCAAATACCACCTACGGCAGCCGTATCGTAAGCAGCTTTCTTCGACTGATATACTCTGTCGTTATTACTTGTGTCCCTCTCAGCTACTTCCCAAATCATTTTTCTACGTAATTAATCGGCTACCTATTTAATCAGTGCGAAAAGCGGTCTAGGGGTTGGTGCTATCATATTTTTCAAATGAACGCATTACGCCATCTCTGCTAGCCCTTCCTCTGCCTTACATACGCACCGCAATAGGGCATATCAAATACCCCACTTCCTTCCTAGTCTTCCAGTCACACCACAGTTAGCGAGACTGTCGTATTCAATCTGTTGCTTGTTTTCGACGCTTGGCCTCCTGCCATGATGATAGTAGACGTAGGGTGAAGGGTACGATGGAGTCGTTTGACCATAACCACTACCAGGCATCCGATTCCTAATCCTTGTTGCTCTTCCATGAGAAATGAATGAAAATTCAGTTCCGAAATTCCTTCGCACAGCGCAAACGACACATGGACTCACACCCGCTGGTTAGTCAATCCGGAGGCCACTACGGTTAACCTTCTAATCCGGCCGATGGGATGGGAGTATGGCATGATAGGTCACTTCCTGTAATTCTGCAGCGTCCCTTAAACTGAACAGGATTATTTGGATGTTATGACACTTTTGGAGCGCGAATCCAGGATGACGATTGTGTGACCTCGTGTCGGCAAAAAATAACCGGTGTTCTGCCCTCACATCCCCACCGACCACTCTTCCGCTGTTGCCGTCATTACCGTACCGTATCTTCCACTCTACGTCGGCACCTTCCACGGAACCAGCCCGCAGTTGCCGACAGCGTTAGGTTCCCCACCGGTTGTCTAGCTGGTATGTTGGTATTACCTCTTCCTCCACGCGGATCAGCATTTCTGCTGTATTCCCCATCCCCCTTACATGGTTGAACATTCCCCAGTGTATCTATCCCGCTACTCTTAGCATACAAATTGCGCGCTACTTGGCTTTTTATACTGTCAGTTTGGATGAGATAGATGACCCGCATGACAACTCTCTTCAGATCAGATTGGCCAGGAATTATATCTTATGCTCCATGTTACTCCGTGTGTTCGACTCTCAACGTCTTCGTTCACTACAGTTCCGCAGCTGTCTTGTCGGCATCAAGGTCACTTATACGGTGTTTCTGATGCATAAAAAATTGGCGGAAACAAAATGTTCCATAATCGTGCATTATCCCCAAT